GATGCAATCTCACTGTATTTTTATTTGAATTTATCAGATGGGTAAATATAGTAAATATTTACTCACACATCGACTGAGCATTTGGTTTTCTTATTTTGTGAAGTGTATATTCGGATCACTTATCCAAGTAAAAATTGGATTGTTTGGTTTTTGTAGTTGTTTTTTTTTGACTCATTTAGGTATTGTGGACATGAACTTTTTATCAGACGATTAGCTGGCAAGTATTTTCTCCCATTCTTTAGGTTGTCTTTTCATTCTTCTTTTTGTTTACTTTGTTTTAAATAAGCTTTTGGTTTGACATTATCTAATTTCTCAATTTATCTTTCATTTCTTATAGTTTTGGAGTCCAAAGAAAGAATTATCTTGGATAATATATTAAAATATTTCCCATATGTTTTCCTTTAGTTGTTTCAGAGTTTCAAATCTTATATCAAATATTTGCTCACAGTTGAGTGAGCTTTTATATAGGGTGAAGTTGTCTAAATTCAGTCTTCTACATGGGTGTACATGTTGTGGAATATTAGGTAAAGATGTGTTACATTCATTTATTCTGTGGAATATTTGTTTAATGATGCAATGATGTTTTGCATTCATTTATGTTGTATTTCTTTAACTCTGGGAAGCTGTATTATTTTGCCTGCCTAAAACATATGATTGGTCTAATAAAGAGCTGAATGGCAAATAGCTAGGCAGGAGATAGGATAGGCGGGGCTGGCATGAAGAGAGAATAAATAAAAGTAGAAGAGAAGAGGGAGGAGTGAGAAGAGGAGAAGGAGAGGAGGACACCAGGGAACAGCCACCCAGTCACACAGCTAAACACAGAATAAGAAGGAAAGAAAAGATATATAGAAATAAAGAAAGGTAAAAGCCTAGAAGCAAAAGGTAGACGGGATAATTTTAAGTTAACAGAAGCTAGATAGAAACAAGCCAAGCTAAGGCCAGATATTCATAAGTAAAAAAAGTCTCCATGTATTTATTTGGGAGCTGGGTGACGGACCTCAAAAGAGTAAAGAAAACCGACTACATGTACCCATTTTGTTCCTAGAAATATTTTTGAAAAATAAAGAAATATTTTTGAAGAGGATATCTTTTCTTAAAGTTAGACAGAATCTCCTTTAATGAGAAATGGTGGGTTAAATATATACATGGATTTGATTGAGTCATTTTGTTCTATCAGTTTGTCTGTATGTCTGTTTTTATACCAATATCATACTATGTTTGTCCTTTGAATCTGAAACATTATTGAAGGCTATTATTTTATGAAATATAATGTTATCTGTTTATTAAATAGAACTTATTGGTTTTATATTTGTATACATACTTCCCATTTATTTCTTAGATCCTTGATCTGTTGAATTCTCCAGAAGAAAGTATTTACAGTTACAGTGAAATATTTTCAATTCAAACAAAAGTTCTTATACCTTAATAGGAACACATGACTCTTTAGATTTTAAAGTTACATACAACACGTTTGTATCTATTCTATATTATTTAATATTTTATTGACTTTTCTGTCTTTGTTACCAGCTTGATAACGTTTCTGTTTATTTCTGGCATAAAAGAAGTTCTACTTCACAAAGCACACTAATCATCTCCTGTAAGTTTAGAGAATACATGTATACGATGAACACAAAATTAAAAATCTAAACTTACGTGCTAAAATTTAGACGTAAACCATAGAAAACTGAATGTACAGCTTTCAAAACCATGAAGATAAGAATAGAAACTATATCATCAAATATACCAGAAACTATAAATTCTACTGAAAAAGGGAAATTATGAAATTTTCAGATAAATGGATGGAGAGGGAAATAATAACTCTGAGTGGGGTAACCCAGACCAAGAAAGGCAGACATTGCATGTTCTTTATTCTATGTGGGTATTAGTCTAAATCTTTAGATATGTGTATTTAAATTGAAATACACATAGGTCAGGAAACTATTAAGAAGCAATGGGTAGGGAGGACTTTCAAGGTAGGGGAGACAGAATGTAGGTGGTAAAATTTATAAAGGAGGAATGGGGGGATATGTATGCATACACACACATATATACATATAATTTATATATATCCATCTATCTACATCTATATCTATAATTATATATGCATATGTATGTATATAGAGAGAAAGGGTTTAAATACAATTACTCTAAAACAAGGGGGCATTGGTCCTCCTAGACACTATATAATATCAAATAAAACATCTAGTGCTATGAATGGGACATATCTATTAGAGTTGTTGCTAATTAGGAGTCCATAAACTCCAAAACATTACAAATTATTCCCATTGCTCTTGATTGCCCTCCAGAATTTTATGATAAAGACTCTATTGCTGGAGAATTCACATACTTGATTGAAAGAACATAGAGAATCAAGCTGTTACTAATCTGGAAGCTTCATGCTAGCTTTCATAGTGTAGGAAGGTGTAGTGTGCTACCAGAGGAGAAAAGTAAGCATCAATCATGCCTAGCTCTGAACGCTGTAAATAGTAATGACTACCATGGCAAAATGTGCCCTTTGATGCAATAGTAGCACAAATGTCAGGAGAGTAACCAATCACTTTCTGATTGGATTTAAGTCCCTCCCACAAAATAAAACCAACACTCAGAACCAGTATTAGGTCAAGAAGCTATGGCTAGACCAGTCATAGGCCCTAGTGGAGAAACTGCCACTATTATTTTGCTAAATGGACAGAGTGTTGTTAAATTGAATCCTAATGACATCATTATATGCACAAGTCAATACATTTCTCAACCTATATTCAAAAATCTTCTTTTCACATTAGATTGTGATCAGTACAGAAACCCACAACTGGCCAAGGTACAATGAATAAGAGGCTGAAGAGTTCTCAGCCCTAAAGAGAACTTATAGAACACAACTTCCCCTGGCCAACCTTCGGGGATCATTGTAGAAGAGTGGGTAGAAAAAGTATAAGATCCAGAGACAATGATGATTGTAAGGAAAGATTATCTTCAGAACATGGCAGGGAAGCTGCGCATATAAACAGACAGTGGTAGCAACCACATGTACAAAAACTGTGTAAGCCAAATCAGACAAAATTCTAGCATGGAGAGATTTGGGCACACCATCCCATTCCTGGCCATGGAACTACAGACAGTTGTTAGCTGCTGAGAAATGAAGATATAGTTTTCTATGAGTGTAGCCCCTGTAAAATCAACCATGCTCCAGTGAAAAACCACACAGTCAGGAATATTCAGATAGCTGAAAGTGATCTTGATGGGCTAAACAAAGGGTACAAATTTGGGTGTGTAGTGAATGGGAGTGAAACTGGCAAAAGTTGTAGAGGGGGTGAATATGATCAAAACATTTTATATGAAACTCTCAATAGCTAATTTAAAAAGTTGTCTTAATAATCCTGTATCTCAACTTAAGAATATGATGTTGTAAATTAAGCCATCATCCTATGTATTTCCACTATAAATGAGTTCCCTTACAAGAGTTAAGTTAAATAACTACAGTAATCCAGCAATGTACTTTAGAGATTATTTCTCATAATATATTAACCATGAATGATTGTGGAGACTACAACTTTACTGCTAGCACTCGTATCCACAAATCATTAAGTAATAAAATATTGTGTCTTCATTGGGATCAAGAACCAATCACACCACTATTATTCAAACTCAGACATCAGTTAATCACTATGTATGTATTCATGAGTTCATGCAGTGTCAGAAGGAGGGAGCTATGTTGAATACTTCTTACTCCATGCTAAACTCTTCTAACATTTTTACAAGAGATAAAAAAAAATCACTGCATTTAAAACCAAATGAAAATGGAGCCACAAACAATATATCTATGTATTGTCAACCTGAAGGAGACTTTAAAACAAGAGGTAAATTAATACAAATGAAGAAAGTGATTGTTAAAAAAATTAAAGACAGCCCAGAAAAAAATAATGTTGGCAAAAAAGTCACATAAATACAACTCTTGCCAATATTTCATGACATAGAAATCAAATTTACAAAATTTTGGAAGCTGACTCACACATGAAAATGAACATGACATTTTACCAAGACACAGAAACTGTGTGCCTTCCAATATTGGTCATGTGACTCGAAAGAAAACACTGTTCAGAGTATTCACAATACAAATTTACAAATAAATGTGTTTATTTCTCAATATATTAAAAACAAAATTAAAATGAAATAATATTTCCATTGTGCTATTCATTTCTGACAGAAAATAATTTTGATGCTTTGACAAAATTATATAAAGTCACAATCACATTTGTTTTGATTTTTTAAGTACTTTTATAGTTTCAGCTCACATGGTCACTTTTATTAGCCTGCTATGATACAAAGTAAAGAAGTCCTTTTCTTTTTTTGCTTTTTAGATGTCTTTAGAAATCACTTTTCAATAAAATAGTTACTCCATTGCAGTGCATAATTTTCAAGTATTTTCATTCATGGTCTTGCTTAATTTCCTCAATGACTGAGATACAATGGCTTTGAAGACAGTATTGTGCTATTTATCCTAGAGATAAGCAAGTTGATTTGGGCCCTAAAATAAATAACAAGTAAGTGTGAAGCCTGGGTTGAAATGCAGTTTTATATGAATCTAAATTTTGTGTGTGTCATTCTGTGATAACAATTCTAGAAAACAGAACTCTGTCTCCTAAATCTAGGCAATTTTTAATAATACATAGTATCTTTTAACATTATTAGAATCTAGTTACTCAAAGTTAATTCACGTTTAAAATTGGAGAATAGACATTACAATTCTCTAAAGTTAACATTTTTTTAAATATTAAAAATAAATCTGTCAGTGTGCATTACAAAGTCCCCAATAGACAAACTGTAAGCACTCTGAGAGACATGATAAGAGGAACAGGGGTGGTCCTTGCTTTTTTATTAGAGGACTGAACAAAACAGATACGCAAGTGTAAATTTATAGACTTCAGAATTTCTTTTGTAAGCATTCAGTGATAGAAACAGCAAACAAAGAACGGTTCATAAAAATTACTCCAAGCTTAACTTACAACTCCAGGAGCAGCAGCAGCAGGGATGTGGCAGTGAGCATTGTGTGCACAATGGCAGCAGCCTTGTTTCTTGCTTGTTAATGTTAGTTCTTAGGAAGTAGCTGGGTGGGGATTGTTGGCAATACCATCTATAAAACTAATTGCTTACATTCAGCTAATCAAAAGGAGACTCACCTCTGAAGACTAAAATATGTTTAGGAAGTGTCAGGAAAACAGTCTTTGAAATGGGATTTCCGTCAGTTCAGTTTTAGAATCACATTGGAAAATTCTCAAGAGCTGCCTTTCTTCTGGTTCCTGTCAAAATATCAACAATAGAGGAGTAAACAGTCCTGTAAAGTTATTCAGAAGAACATTGTAGAATCTCTGAAATGACTGTGAAATTTTTCCATGGTATAAATGATTCTTAAACAAAATATAGTAAGCAGCACTACAAAAACTCCAAATAAAATCCTATATGTTCTCTCTGCAATAAATTTATAGCCCCAAAATGGAAGTATGGAACATTTTAGGAAGAACTAGGAAATTTTGGCCTATGTGAAGAATCATTGCCAATCTAAATACATTTTTGAATAAAGAATTTAATCTCTAGAATCACCAGTCTAATTAAATACTAAATCAAATCTAGAGATTTTGATAAAAGTTTTGTAAGTTGCTAAAATGTTAAATATAGAGTTATCATATGACCTAACAATTCCATTCTTAGAAATTTACCTAAAAGTTGAAAATACATATGCATGTGATTGTTTATAGTGGTATTACTGATAGTAGCTAGAAATGGAAAGAGCCTATTGTGACTATTAAACTGAAGAATGGGTCAATAAAACATGGTATCATCTTATAATGGAATTTTATTCAATAATAAAACTAGAAATGAATTCATAATCACCTGTTATAGTATAAATGAACCTTAAAGACATTGTGCTTTATTAACTATGGATGGTAATGTAATCTGTAATCCCAACAATTTGAAATCTGACATAGGAAGATTGTGAATTCATGTTCAAACTACAATAAATAGTAAGTTGCATTCAAGATGAACCACATAATGTGATACATGGTCTAAAACAAATGCTAAGTAAAAGGAGGCAGTTATAAAGGACTATTGTACCATCTACTTGAAATGACTACAACTTGTGAATTCATACAAATAAAATACCTTAGTGGTTGTTGGATCTGGTGTGTTGGCAGAGAAATATGACTTATTTTGAAGTGAAAAGTATTGTAATAGATGTGATTAATGTGTGAATTATCCATATGTAAAAATATCACAATGAATCCCAATATACAATTCAAATATATTGAAAATCAAAACAAAAATAAAAATAAAATTTTGAAAAGTGCTCTAAAATTAAATAATGATGAGGTTTCACAATTACAAAAATACTAAAAACCACAAAATTGTATACTTCTCACTTATGATTTAATTTCTACCAATTTTTGTCCCACTAGTTAAAAAAGTGATAAACCGATCTTGCTCCGGACTTCCCTTTTGGAAAACTGAGGCCGGCCCCCAGCTCCCATCTTGCTCCGGACTTCCCTTTTGGAAAACTGGTGAGTGCCCTTCCTTGCCCCGGACCCCATCCCTGGGCACCAGCCACTCCAGGGAAGACCTGCCCAACTTGGCCCCAGGTTCTGGCCACCGGGCAGGTTCCCTGCTAGCCCCACCGGGAAGGATCCCCTTCTCCAAGACCCCTGGCAGGCCCTGCAGTCTCCACGCCCTGCCCCCACGCCCATCCGCCTGAGCCCCAAGCCTCTTCCTGAGACTTAGAGGCCGGCCCCCAGCTCCCATCTTGCTCCGGACTTCCCTTTTGGAAAACTGGTGAGTACCCTTCCTTGCCCCAGACCCCATCCCTGGGCACCAGCCACTCCAGGGAAGACCTGCCCAACTTGGCCCCAGGTTCTGGCCACCTGGCAGGTTCCCTGCTAGCCCCACCGGGAAGGATCCCCTTCTCCAAGACCCCTGGCAGGCCCTGCAGTCTCCACGCCCTGCCCCCACTCCCATCCCCCTGAGCCTCAAGCCTCTTCCTGAGACTTAGAGGCTGGCCCCCAGCTCCCATCTTGCTCCGGACTTCCCTTTTGGAAAACTGGTGAGTACCCTTCCTTGCCCCGGACCCCATCCCTGGGCACCAGCCACTCCAGGGAAGACCTGCCCAACTTGACCCCAGGTTCTGGCCACCAGGCAGGTTCCCTGCTAGCCCCACCGGGAAGGATCCCCTTCTCCAAGACCCCTGGCAGGCCCTGCAGTCTCCACGCCCTGCCCCCACGCCCATCCGCCTGAGCCCCAAGCCTCTTCCTGAGACTTAGAGGCTGGCCCCCAGCTCCCATCTTGCTCCGGACTTCCCTTTTGGAAAACTGGTGAGTACCCTTCCTTGCCCCAGACCCCATCCCTGGGCACCAGCCACTCCAGGGAAGACCTGCCCAACTTGGCCCCAGGTGCTCGCCACCGGGCAGGTTCCCTGCTAGCCCCACCGGGAAGGATCCCCTTCTCCAAGACCCCTGGCAGGCCCTGCAGTCTCCACGCCCTGCCCCCACTCCCATCCGCCTGAGCCCCAAGCCTCTTCCTGAGACTTAGAGGCCGGCCCCCAGCTCTCATCTTGCTCAGGACTTCCCTTTTGGAACACTGGTCTGGCTGAACCAAGTGTGCGGATAAGGCCAGTAACGAAGCACAAGGAGATGGGCAGACGTCAAGGCAGAAACATATACAACAAAATGAATAGCAATACAGCATCACCAGGCCCTAGCCCTCCTCCAACACCTAGACCTGAACATCAGAAATTGGAAGAAGCAGAAGAAAACAGCCTTATGAATGACATCATGAAGAAGCTAGAGGCTTGTGTAGAGGAAAAGACAAAAAAATGTGAAGAACGCTGTAAACAACTAGAGGAAAGGGCAAACAAATTAGAAGAAATCAATAAAGTCCTGGAAGAAAACAATAAAATACTGAGAGAAAAATCAAGAAAAATCAATGAAACAAATGAAGGAAACAGTCCAAGACCTGAAAAGGGAAATAGAAAAAATGAAGAAGACACAAACAGAGGGAATGCTGGAAATAGAAAATCTGAGAAAACGATTGGGAACTTCAGATGCAAGTATAATCAACAGAATGCAAGAGATGGAAGAGAGGATCTCTAGCGTTGAAGATACAGTAGAAGAAATACATTCATCAGTCAAAGAAAACACTAAAGCCAACAAAGTCATGAACCAAAATGTCCAAGAAATTTGGGACACCATGAAAAGACCAAACCTAAGAATAATAGGGGTCGAAGAAGGAGAAGAATACCAACTCAAGGGCACAGAAAATATATTCAACAAGATCATAGAAGAAAACTTTCCCAACTTAAAGAAGGAAATGCCTATGAAGATACAAGAAGCTTATAGAACACCAAACAGACTAGACCCCCCAAAAAAGTCCCCTCACCACATAATAGTTAAACAACTAAACGTACAGAATAAAGAAAGAATATTAAGAGCAGCAAAGGAAAAAGGCCAAGTGACATATAAAGGCAAACCCATCAGAATAACACCCGATTTCTCAATGGAGACTTTGAAAGCCAGAAGAACCTGGACAGATGTAATGCAGACACTAAGAGACCATGGATGTCAGCCTAGACTAATATACCCAGCAAAACTTTCAATCACCATAGATGGAGTGAACAAGACATTCCATGACAAAGCCAGATTTAAACAATACTTATCCACAAACCCAGCCCTACAGAAAGCACTAGAAGGAAAATTCCAACCTAAGGAAGTCAGATACACCCTCGAAAACACAGGCAACAGATAAAGCCACAGCAGTAAACCCCAACGTATAGAAGTACCCACACATCACCACCAAAAAATAACAGGAATGAACAATCACTGGTCATTAATTTCCCTCAATATCAATGGACTTAATTCACCTATAAAAAGACATAGGCTTACAGAATGGATACGAAAGCAGGACCCATCTTTCTGCTGCATACAAGAAACACATCTCAAATTCGAAGATAGACACTACCTAAAAATAAAAGGCTGGGAAAAGACTTTCCAATCAAACGGTCTTAAGAAACAAGCGGGTGTAGCCATCCTGATATCCAGCAAAATAGACTTCAAACTAAAATCAATCAAAAGAGATCAAGAAGGGCATTACATACTCATCACAGGAAAGATCCACCAAGATGAAGTCTCAATTCTGAATATTTATGCCCCAAACACAAGGGCACCCACATATGTAAAAGAAACATTACTAAAGCTTAAATCACATATAAAACCCCACACATTAATAGTGGGAGACCTCAACACCCCACTTTCACCACTGGACAGATCTCCCAAATTGAAACTTAACAGAGAAATAAAGGACTTAACTGATGTCATGACTCAAATGGACTTAATCGATATCTACAGAACATTCCATCCTAACAAAAAAGAATATACCTTCTTCTCAGCACCCCATGGAACCTTCTCTAAAATTGACCACATACTTGGCCACAAAACAAATCTAAACAGATACAAAAGAATTGGAATAACCTCCTGTGTTCTATCAGACCACCATGGTCTAAAGTTGGATTTCAACAACAACAAAAACTACAGAAAACCTGCAATCTCATGGAAACTGAATAATACCCAGCTGAATCACCAATGGGTTAAGGAAGAAATAAAGAAAGAAATTAAAGACTTCCTAGAGATCAATGAAAATGAAGACGCCACATATCCAAATTTATGGGACACTATGAAAGCAGTACTAAGAGGGAAATTCATAGCACTAAATGCCCACATAAATAAGTTGGAGAAATCTCACACTAGAGACTTAACAGCATACCTGAAAGCTCTAGAACAAGAAGAAGCACAGTCTCCCAGGAAAAATAGACGCCAGGAAATTATCAAAGTGAGAGCTGAAATCAATAAAATAGAAACAAAGAGAACAATACAAAAAATTAATGAAACAAAGAGTTGGTTCTTTGAGAAAATCAACAAGATAGACAAGCCCTTATCCAAACTAACCAAAAGACAGAGAGAGAGCATCCAAATCAACAAAATCAGAAATGAAAAGGGGGACATAACAACAGACATTGAGGAAAT